AGGAAGAAGCGAAACAGCCAAATGTAATTCTAGAAAAACTCGAGTTGTATTTTATTCCGAAAAGCAACCAAAGTGTTGAGAGTCACAAGTTCAACACTCGTGTGCAAGGACNGACAAATTTAGAAAAAACCATTTGCAAAGACAACAAATACAGAAACACTATTTCGACAGAAATGCTAGAGACCTAACAGCATTGAATCCACATGACCGAGTGATGATCCAAATTGATAAAAGAAACTGGGAGCCTGGTGAAATAATAGAAATAGACAGATATCGACCAAGATCTTATATTGTGCGCATAGACAAAGACAGTAAATACTTCATTCGTAACCGAAGATTTTTAAGGAAGTTCGATGTGAATAGATTTAGAAACATACAGAATCATTCAGGCGAATTGTTGGATCAACCAAGTGAGGAAGAACAGGCCAGTGAACAAGGAGAAAACATGGATAGTGGTAGTGAGGAAAAGGACACAGAGAATGAGCAGTTGGAAAATCAGGAGGTGAGCGGCAATGAGGCTACAGACTTGACAACTCGATCAGGCCGGGTGATCCGTAGGCCATCGCGTTTCAAAGACTTTGTGTAAGAAAGGGAGATGTAATATGTATTGTATTAAAATGTTAAAATGTAAAATATTAGTGAGTCCGCCAGGTGGCGATCGTTGCTGATGCATCACGGGAACGGTACCTGAGCGCTCACTTTGGTTGTAACCTCGAGACAATAAACATAACAAAAACAAAAGAACTAATTTGTACATTCTAGACTGAGTATAATGCTGCAGCTGTAAAAATACTGTTTTCCTTGGCTCAATGCCAATTTTGAACATCTACAACATTATAACCAAGGATCTGGTAACATAAATACAGTACAGTATATCACAATTACTTCAGTTCAAATTAGTCCTTTGGTTTCCCTATGGAGTGCACACATCTATACACAAGAACCTTATTATATCCCAATAACAACAAATTTTAATTAAAAGTAATGTTTTTGACCATAATCATGGTCTTCTTCAAGCTTTTGACCAGTACAATTTGAATATGGAACATGTCAAACAACAATGTTTAAAATTATTTTAAAATACCAAAACATTTAAATGCTAGAAGATAATTTTTAGCCATATGTGCTACAATAGTGATAAAAATATTCCTACACTACAAACAATAAATAATAAGATATAATTAATGGTGTAGAAAAGGTAGCTAAATGCTAGTTTTGCTTGTGTTTTTTCATAGCACCACCTCCATGCATAAGAAATATTAGCAGCATCCTTTGTGTTAATATGGTTCCTGGCTGGGCTGGCCTTGTATATTTCTAAAGCTTCCAGGTTGCAAAGGTGCTCTACCTGATGTGACTCTCTCACCAATTTGGCTTTATGGAGGTCGGCTTGTATTTCGGGGTCCGTGGCATAGGCGGTTAAGACCTTTGTCTTTGGTTGGCAATATCATACCTGTACTCCTGTACTCTTTTGCTTAGTGAACGCTTCATGGATCCAATGTATACTAGATCATATTGGAATCTGTGGTCTCTGAAAGGAACCACCTAAAATTTTAAACATGTTCACAAAATTTAAAACAATGGGATTGGTTAAAAATTCATTAAAAATTTTGTTATAAATTCTAAAAATTAATAAAATAATTTTTAGAATTTACAACAAAATTTTTAATGAATTTTCAAATTTTTAAACATGTTGTTCAACACATTCCATTTTCAAATTGTACTGGTCAAAAGCCTGAAGAAGACCATGTTACAGATCCACTAAAAAGAGGCAAAATTACATTGATTTTGTGAGAACTGAAGAAAAAGTCTATTATTCCAAAAAATCTGTTGTTCCATGATCCATTAAAATGAGATTCTACTGTGTAATGTATCATTTGTTAAAAACGTAAATTATCATAAATTGGAAAAAAATAATAATCAAGGGGTTAATTTTACTCTAAAATACAAGTTCTAATGTTTCCAAATTTTCATCCAAAACAAATTATGAAATTATAAATGTTACTAGGGCTTCAACTACTCACTGACTTCTCTCACTCATCCAAAAAGTTTCCCTACTTTTAAAAAATTTTATTACAATTTATCACTTTCTCATGCTGCTATTGATATTTTTTCATATATAAACAGAAGTAAAACATACTTTAAAATAGAGTTGTTCTTAAAATTTTGAATATTTATTAAGAAATTATTTTATAACAGGTTTTAAAATAATGTTTTCTAATTTTTAAAATAAATTTACATTTCTCAATTTCTCATTTGCTAGAATAGTTTGAGTAATTGATGAAATCCACCATTTTATCCATGTCATGCCCACACTACACAGTCTTTTCACTTAGGCTTTACCAACATACTTGATTGTGATGGCAGAAGAGTATGTTCCATTTTTAGATGCATACCAAGTAATTTTTGACAAGTTTTAGCATGACCTTGCAACTCGGTTCTGAACAAATGCATTTTTAGATAGATTCATACTCAGCTGCTTTCAAACTGGAAACACTCACTGTCTGTACATTCCACATTATGGTATGAATGCACCAATTACTTTGAGATTCAGCATATTGACAATTCTATGTGGACAAAGCACTAACTAACACCTACATTTGTTGCCTTAGTGGGCTTATTTGAGAATTATTTGAGAAAAATTGTTCCATAATTTTTAGAAGGTTATCCATATGTCCATAATTTACATGTGATTTCCATAAAAACTACAGAAAATCCATAGTGGCATCTCTGAACTTTATACAATAAAATCTTTGTGTATTCCTTAAGTATAATGTCAATGTCAAAAAGTGAGCTTGCTTTTACTCATTTGTTCAAATTCTATCTCAAAACTAAGAATTTTTGATTATATAGTTCATAAAAAAGTCTATCTCTCAGGTTCTCTGCTGCAAAATAACCATATCATCATCTATTTAGCATGTGTAGTATACAATGTCACTTACAAAACTGTATCATAAAACTTTATTTATACAGGGTTTGTCCAATAAGTATCAAGACTGATTTTTTCCTGCCAATGAGAAGGGGTAGAGGATGGTCTCTATGGGTGAGATCAGTGGTGGGGGATGTCATGCAAGCTACGAGACCCAGCTCAGTTGTCTCCAAGCCTTTGGAGTGTGTAGACCACACCTGAAGTGAAAGTGTGTTTAGTGCTTGTGTCGAGAGTCAAGATGCAGCAAACCATCAAGTAGCATTCTGCCATTAAACTCTGCATTAAATTGAACAAATCCGCTAAATTTTGATATGATCCTTGAGGCTCACAAGAACAAAGCCACGTCCAGAACATGTTTGAGTGGCATAAAAAATTCAAAGATGGCCCGGAAGACGTCGAAGACGAACAACATGCTGGATGTCCGACAGCAACCAAAACCAATGAAACTGTGGCCAAAATGCAAGAACTTTTGAATTATGATTGCCAGTTAAGTGTTTGTTTGATAGCACAAGAGTTAAACTTAGCAAAATCCACTGTGCATTCAATTGTGATAGATGATTTGCAAATGCAGAAGATGTGCGTGAAGTTTGTGTCAAAGGTTTTGTCAGACGAGTAGAAGGAACACTGTGATGATTTGTTGTGAACTGTTGGAATGTTTGGTGACCAATCCAAATCTTTTTGACAGTGATAACCAGTGACGAAACTTGGATCTTTGAGTATGATTCAGAGACCAAAAGGAAAAGGGCTGAGTGGCACACAAGCATCTCTCCTTAACCAATAAATTCCTACATGAACAAATCAGAAGCGAAATTGATGCTCATTGTCTTCTTTGACATAAAAGGTATAGTGCACAAGGAGTTTGTGCCTGCTTGACAAATGGTGAATGTAAATTTTATGCAGACGTGCTCAAACGTTTGAAAATTAGGATCCACGGTGTCCAAAGGGAGATCACCAATACCTAGATGCTCCATCACATCCATTGTTGTGATGGATGTATGCAACACATACACCCATCACAACAATGCACCCAGTCACACATTGCTAATTGTGAGAGAGGCACTGGTCAAACACATGTCAATACTGCCCAACAACCCTATACTCTAGATGTGGCTCCCCCAATTTCTTTTTGTTCCCTCAGATCAAAAGTAGCCTGAAAAAACGTTTCAGGATGATTGAGGTGGTCCAAGTGGCTTCAATGGGATGCCTGAATAGCCTTGCAGTTGCCAATTTCCAGGGGCATATGAAGACTGCAAAAAGCACTGGCAGCAGTGTATTGATACAGAAGGGTCATATTTTGAAGATTATTAACTCACTGTACATATATCTTCAATAAATTTATTTTTATGACTTCAGTCCTGATACTTATTGGACAAAACTTGTGGATCTAACATAAGATTAGCTATCAGAATTCCTGTTCTGTATATATGATCAATTTTTCAAATCTGAAGAAATAACAAATAATGTGAGTTCAAGTATAAGTTGATGATATTTATGATTGTATGATAATGATATGTTTGGTATCATTTCAAAAAGCTTGTCACTGACAGCATTAAAGCAAAAAGGAAAAAAAAAATAGACAGATACAAACTGAAAGTTAAACACAATGTTATATTTGTACTCTTTAAGGAAAAGGTTTTGTAAATGTCTCATGACTATAGTATGAACCATAGATTTTCACAAAGCTGAAAAACTTGGGTGAAATATTCTTTGGAATGCATACCTGTGAACTATATTTCTCTACAATTGGTATTTTGTTTCTCTTTTTTGTGAGTGTTACCTGATGCAATCTTGGCATATCCAAAGAGCCATGACAACACAGTTTCAAGAACGGAGATGGTGGAAAGTGTTAAGTCAGATAATCTAATAGCCTAAGTTTTAAATGTGTAGAAAGATATTTTGTCAAAGTACATATCTGTGTTCTTGATATAATCACAGGTGTATATATAAAAATATTAATGTTTTAATTAAAAATCTTTTAGATACATTAAGTTGCTTAATTTCCACTTCTCACTAAAAGCAAGGGTTGATAATATGTCTGCATTACTTGTTAATATGGAATACTTTAATAGGTTACTTATAATATAAATAGCAATAAATCACAGTTACTTGTTTTCCAGAAGTTTTCTTTTCCTTCTTGTCTTGCCAGGTGACTAGAATTTGCATTTCTTGTTCTAATTGATGTCGACGTTTCGTTACCGATACAAGCAATGTTTCCATTTCTAACTGAAGGGCATCTAAATCCTCAATACCTACTAATTCTTCATCATTTCTTTGTAAAACTACAGTATAAAAAATTACCATCAGTTTATAATTCAGAATTAATATAAAATTATATCAATCTAAAACTTTTAACAGAATAACTGAAATAACAAGCGTTCTAACTTATGAAACTTCATGCAACACATACCCGTCGAGTATCTAGGACAGTGTCGAATGTGATCAATTGGTGTAAAGTCAGGAAACTGGAGAGGACAATCCTTAGAATCGGGTATGTCTTTTCCTTTACCCTTTCCTTTCATTCTAATTTAATATTGAAGGGTATTAAAATTAATCTGGATAATAAAAAAAATATATATTAATTTTCAGCAAATCAAATATTAATAAAATTAACAAAAATAAATTTTAATTTTTAGATGTAATTTAAAATTAATTAATATATCAACAGACCTAAGTTGGAATCAGCAGGATCAATAATCTCCCAGTATTAAAATCTGGAGTTATGGTATTGATCTAAATCAGGCCTGACCAACCCGTGGCCTGTCACGTTAAATTGTGTGGTCCGCTAAGCAATATTATATATCTATTAAAACTTTTGTTTTCTGTTATGTGTATACCAAAACAATTAAATAAATGAAAATTTGCATGTTTCATTATTATAATGTGCAAGTGCAAGTATGAATTCTTGGTATAAGAATAAAATCATTCATTTTGTATTTGTTTTACTTTTTTAAAAACATGTTTGCCTAAATTGTGGCCCACCGTAATGTTACACGTGATCAAAGTGGCCCACAAAACAATTTGGATTGGCCAGGCCTTATCTAAATATTTGTGCTGCATCTGCAATGACAATGCAATGCATTTTCAAACGTTCAGAAAAAAATCCTATATCTGCCACTGATTTGACAGTTTATTATTCTCACATATATAAACACTTCAATGGGGAACTGTCATATATTGATGTTTGTATTCTCTATAAATCATGCTAGCATATGTGGGAGATGTCACTGGTTATTCTAATATCCAGTTAAAACTGATCAAAATATTTTATTTCCTCACAGACCAGAAAAACATGACAAATGCATTTTCAATCAAACTTTATACCGTATTACAGTATTTCCCAAACTTCTCAGTAAAGTGAAGCCCTAAGCAAAAAAGATGTTTTTTGCAGAGCCCTCAAAACTCGTTGACATCTTTTGCTATAAATTTGTACAATTGATGGAGAAAGAAGGCAGCTCTAATGTTTTATTTATTATTATTATTTCATTGAATGATTAAATAATATATATTTTATTTTTATCATTCAATGAAATGTCAGTTGATGCATGCATAAGAGCAACTAGTGTTGAGGTGTAAGAGCTACCTACAACTAGTGTTGAGGTGTACCTCCAACTCAAATAAACACCTGCTCATTTAAAAACAGTTATAAAATAAACAAATAATGCATATGATTTATTAACTTAAAATGTTTTAAAAGATTCATGGAGCTCTAAAATTTCAGTTTCAGAGCCCACTTTGGGAAATGCTGCTGTATTATTATTATTATTCAGTGTCTTCCCATATTATATTCCTAATTCAAAATATTGTAGATAGTGAATTAAGAGCAAAGTACAAGAATACACTGGAGTGAACATATTTAAATCTTCATTCAAAATGCATTTGTCATGTTTTTCTGTATATGAAAAAATATTCTGATCAGTTTTAACTGGATATTAGAGTAATCAGTAACATCTCACAAGTATGTCAACATGATTTATAAAGAATACTGCATAAATTCTCATATATATCTTAAGATAGCAAATATAATAATAAAATAAAATGCAGTAAATCATTGCTTTTTTTTATTTATATAAATTTTCTGTAATGGCTATAAGAAACATTGTAACTGTGCCGTATTTTGTTGTGGTTTTATATATACAGGCCTGGGAGTGCCATTTCCCCTCTGAAAAAGTGAGAAAAGTGAGTTGAAATACAGAAAAAGTGAATAAAAAGTGAGTGCAATAGTGACAAAACAACGTGAAAAAACGGAAGGAAAACTCAGCAAAATAGCAGTAAAAGTTATTTTCTTTTTATTGTGATATGGTTAAACACATTTTTAAAATTTCTGTATATACTGTAATACAGTCGTTATATCGCGCATTTTTGGTCCCCCGAATTTTAAAAGCATTTGAGTCAATAACTTTTAAATTACCAATTGTCACTGAATTTCTATTTTCAACGAAATATGGTATTTTATTTCCACTAATGTCCTTGAAACTACCACTGAAGGTGAAACAATAAATTCGCCAAGATCTACATATGCAGAACAAATGGATGGATCGATTATCATTTGTTTCCTTTTAATAAAAAAGTTGTTTATTTATTAGTTTTAAGTACTGTCTCCTCATTTACAAGTTTCTGTAAATTCGAAATTTCACATCTTTATGTGAATTAACGGTATTGCTTCAATTCACACAGAGATGTGAAATTTCGAATTCACAGCATAATGTGTAAGGAAAAGATTTCTTAATTCTGAAAGGAAAGTTCTAAAATTTTTATACAGTAGTAACTTTATTTTGCTTTTTAATTAAAAAATTTTTACTCTGTAATTTTATAAGTTTTGATGTTCTATTATATATTCAATATTTTTTTTTTAATTTTCAATTACAGCATTTATAATTTTTATTGAAAAATATAAACTACACGAATTTCTAATAAGCGATTTATATAGTACTGTATAATAAAATCGCAATTGATTTGTTTTTATATCGACAGTATTTGTCTTTCAATGTCATTGTTAAAGAAACAATAATGCTAAATGGGCGTTCATGGTATCGATGTTTACGTAAACGTCAATTAATA